GTTTTTCCTCAACGCTGCAACTTTTCTTTCTTTCTTTTTCTTTTTCTTCTACCACCATCACCAACGGCTATAATTTTTTGGGATGCTCATACCATGAAAAATATAATTTATGCATGTATCATATTACATAATATGATCGTCGAGGATGAATGACACACTTATCAAAATCATATTGATTATAATATTATTAGAAATGAAATTTGGGCATTGGACGCATCTTCAGGTGTCCATCCCAATTTCAGATATACATACTTTGAGACGAGAGTAGTGGTTCAAAACAGAAACAAACATCGACAATTTCAAGCGGTTTTGGTCAAACATATTTGGCAACGATTAAGAATAAAAAATAACGAAAATTAATTTAATGTAGAATATTGAAAATTTCATTGTCATGACTTTTTTTCAACATTATTGTTTTCAATTTTTATATTATTATTTTAAATTTAGTATGTATTTCAATTGTTACATTTTTATTTATGTATTATATAAATGTCATTGTTTTTAAATTAAAAATTTACAACATATTTAGAATATTAATTTTTTCTAAATTAAATAAAATTATTACTTGATATCTAATAATTAAAAATAATTTTTTTAATTTAAATATACCTTAATTTTAATGAAATTTAACATTAAAAATTTATAATATATTGAATTTCTTATAATTATTTAAAGAAACTTATCATTGAAATAAAAATAGAATAAAATTACTTAATGTTGATGATATATAGTAGAAATCACCAAAGAACTCTAAAGAGTTGCTCGACATGCTCTTAGAGGAGGATACTATCATTGATCCATTTGCTTGAAGTGCTAAACACGGTATCAGTTAAAATAGGTCGCAGCTAAAATATGTAGCTTGAAGTAGGGCACATGTATTTCCATCTTTTTCTTTAATAAACTAGTTTTACCTTACTTTTTTCACCTCAAATTTGAAAATACCCTATAAACAGAAATGAATTTTTATTGTGTAATACATTAAATAGAAATTTATTTCTTATGCATTTGATTTAGATACGCAATAGAATATTCTTTTCGTTGTGTATTCGAACAAACACACAATGAAAACTTGTTTCCATCGAATCGCGAATTGAGAAGAAAAAAAATAATAATTAATATTAATGAAAATAATGACCATACAAGTTACATTTTAAAAGCAATTGAATTAATTATTATATTAATTACCAATTATTTATATCATAATTAATTTGATAAGTATTAAAAATGGTAATTTGTATCATAGTTAAATTGGTTAATACTGAAAAGGATAAATTATTCATGATTAAATAAATTTTAATTAAAAAAGGTAATTAAAATAAAACAAAATTAAATGCTAGACCTTTCTAATTGAAATTAATTTAATTACAATAAATTTTACTCCTTTTAATAATAATCAATTTAATTATAATACAAGTTATCATTTTTAATAGTAATCAAAATTAATTATGATATAAATTAATAGCTATTAGTATAATAATTAATTCGATTACTATTAAAAATGTTAATTATATTACAATTATTTTGATTGATATTAAACTATTATTTTTATGATTCAACGAGAATATTTTTTTAAATATGTATATCTGTCGAGATAAGTATATATATATAGGGAGCATATCAAGTGAGAGGAATTTATTATGAGAGGGTGAGAGGGTTAAAATATAACCCTTAGATTAATCAAGTGAGAGAAAATTTGGGATTTAATCAAGTGAGAGAAAATTAATCTAAGGGTTATATTTTAACCCTCTCACCCTCTCATAATAAATTCCTCTCACTTGATATGCTCCCTATATATATATACTTATCTCGACAGATATACATATTTAAAAAAATATTCTCGTTGAATCATAAAAATAATAGTTTAATATCAATCAAAATAATTGTAATATAATTAACATTTTTAATAGTAATCGAATTAATTATTATACTAATAGCTATTAATTTATATCATAATTAATTTTGATTACTATTAAAAATGATAACTTGTATTATAATTAAATTGATTATTATTAAAAGGAGTAAAATTTATTGTAATTAAATTAATTTCAATTAGAAAGGTCTAGCATTTAATTTTGTTTTATTTTAATTACCTTTTTTAATTAAAATTTATTTAATCATGAATAATTTATCCTTTTCAGTATTAACCAATTTAACTATGATACAAATTACCATTTTTAATACTTATCAAATTAATTATGATATAAATAATTGGTAATTAATATAATAATTAATTCAATTGCTTTTAAAATGTAACTTGTATGGTCATTATTTTCATTAATATTAATTATTATTTTTTTTCTTCTCAATTCGCGATTCGATGGAAACAAGTTTTCATTGTGTGTTTGTTCGAATACACAACGAAAAGAATATTCTATTGCGTATCTAAATCAAATGCATAAGAAATAAATTTCTATTTAATGTATTACACAATAAAAATTCATTTCTGTTTATAGGGTATTTTCAAATTTGAGGTGAAAAAAGTAAGGTAAAACTAGTTTATTAAAGAAAAAGATGGAAATACATGTGCCCTACTTCAAGCTACATATTTTAGCTGCGACCTATTTTAACTGATACCGTGTTTAGCACTTCAAGCAAATGGATCAATGATAGTATCCTCCTCTAAGAGCATGTCGAGCAACTCTTTAGAGTTCTTTGGTGATTTCTACTATATATCATCAACATTAAGTAATTTTATTCTATTTTTATTTCAATGATAAGTTTCTTTAAATAATTATAAGAAATTCAATATATTATAAATTTTTAATGTTAAATTTCATTAAAATTAAGGTATATTTAAATTAAAAAAATTATTTTTAATTATTAGATATCAAGTAATAATTTTATTTAATTTAGAAAAAATTAATATTCTAAATATGTTGTAAATTTTTAATTTAAAAACAATGACATTTATATAATACATAAATAAAAATGTTTGTGTGTGTGTGTGTATGTATGTGTATGTGTATGCGCGCGTGTACGTACCCGTGCGTGCATCCGTCGTGCGTGAGTGTGCGTGTGTTTGTGTGTGTGATTTGAATACATAACAAAAAAAAATGTTTTTCTTGTCAACATATACAATGCAAATATGTTTTTAAAGGTTCAATTATATTTTTAATTTTCTTATTTTTATTGATCTATAATTTTTATATCTTTATTTTAAAATAGAGAATTTTAGTCTTCATATTTTTAAAATATGAAATTTTAATACTATTATATTTATTCATTATTAAATTTTAACATTTTCTGATGATTTGATATACGTGTCATAAAGGGTTAAAAAATTAAAACAAAAACATATAAAAATATTTTTATTTATATATATTTTAACAAGTAATAAATAATTATTTTATTAATAAAAATTTTATTTGCATATTTTTTATTTTTAAATATTATGTTACTAAAT